CCAGCCTGGGCTACAAAGTGAGCTCAAGGCCAGCCTGAACTGTGTAGTGAGACCCTGTCTCAAAAAGACAAAAAAAAAAAAAAAGAAAAAAATTATTTGTAACAATAACTAATGTACCAACAAGTATTGAACTTATTTAGAATTTTAACCACTCCATGGACCCCCAAAGGAAAAATAGTCTACTGGTTTACAAATATAACTGTACAAATGTTACAAAAAGCATTTTTTTTCTTCTCTGATTTCTTGTGATCCACTGGTCATTCAATAATGTATTATTTAACTTCCATGTTTACCTAGTCAGAACTCTCTAACTTCCTATAATAATTTTTTAAACACTGGTACAGATACAAAGTAAAATATTAGAAATATTCCAAAACTATACCAGCTACCTATAAACCAGCAGATATAAAGTAAGTTTCTAGTTGATCTTTAAATCTTTCCAAAAATAAAAGTGCCATAAATGGAGTTATAGGTCATACATAATGTTTTTATTACAATTTTAGGTTTACTCAGAAAACTAAAAGTAAATGAACTTAATGCCAAGGCAAACAAAAATGCAGTTCTTTCAGTACTTTCACTAGTCATTAAATCCAAAAGGGCCTGACACGGTGGAACACACTGTAATCCCAACACTTGGGACATGCAGCAGGAGGATCACCTCGGGTTCAAAGCCAGCCTGCACTACACAGTGAGCTCAAGGCCAGCATGGACTACATAACAAGACTTTGTCTCCAAAAAGAAAAGAGAAAAAAAATCACACTCAAAAGAAGCCACCAAGGCGGGCGTGGTGGCGCACGCTTGTAATCCCAGCTCTTGGGAGGCTGGGTAGAAGGATCACTGTGAGTTCGAGACCATCCTGGGCTACAAAGTGAGCTCAAGGCCAGCTTGAACTGCATAGGGAGACCCTGTCTCAAAAAGACCAAAAAAAACCAAGAAGCCTCCATCAGTGTATAAAGGAGTATATCAGTGTATAAAGGAGAATTATTTGGCCTTTGTGTATTACAAAAGTCAGACGTCTTTGACAACCAAACTAAACCATAACATTTTCTGAAGAACATACCTCAGTCCTGCAGTAATGAAATACTGTCGGTGCACGGGGTGCACATGAACAGTTCTTATCTTTGTCATAGAAGAACTAATAAGCTTCTCATAAGAAGTCCCAGATGTCCGTCTATCCACCAGTGACAGGGTCCCATCCCAGTGTGCTACTAATAAAGTAGCAGCATCCTCTGTCAAGAAGTCAAAGGAAGAGAAGCTCCTGCTCTCATTTCTGTACACCTAACGGTAGAAGTGACAATTAGCTGTCTGACACTTTTCCTTTGAGAAAAGTCAATGCCTAAGTTCTTGATAAAAGAGTTATAAAGCACTTTACCCAAATCACCTCACTTATCTTCCCATTATCCACACAGGAAGCACAGGACGAACTGGAAACCAAGGCAGTGCTCAGCTGTGAGGCTTACCTCCAATCAAATGCCCCATCTACTCATGTCAGGGCCACACCCCAAATCTCAAAACCAATAACCCTCTGTTCCAGACATACCCTCTAAAACTTACTAGGAAATGAACTGTCTGAATTCCATCCAACTGAAATTATATCTTAATATATCAAGTAACTTTGCCAACTAAGTCCAAGATATCTTGTTGACTGTTCATCTGTTCTTGTTTGTTTGTTTGTTTTATTGGTTTTTCTCCGGTACCGGGAACCGAACTCACGACCTTGCGCTTGCCAGGCAAGCGCTTTTTGCCGCTGAGCTAAATCCCCAGCCCCTGTTCATCTGTTCTTGGAGTAGAGTAACAGATTAAAATTCTTGGGGCTAGGGATGTAGCTCAGTGGCACAGTGCCTGCCTGGCAAATGTGAGGTCCTAAGTTTGATTCCCAGTATACCTCCCCCCAAAAATTCTTGACAGTTATCAGGCTACATCTATCAAAACAGTTAATGCTTACAGTCGCTTACCTAATAATTTCACTGAAAGAAGTGGATAAAAATATCTGCTATAAGAAGGCTTGTAATAGCAACAAGAAGCTGCCAAGGCAGATCTGGTCAAAAGAATAATATAACATCTCCAATGAAATATCATGCAATGCTGGAAAGAACGAGGCAGTGCGGTTTTACTACTTCCCCAAGACATACTAGTCAATGAAAAAAATCGAGATGCAGAAGACTAAGCATATGGTATGAATCCATTAGTACGAACAAAGGGAGGAAAAGGTCTGTGTCTGTAAAGATGGAGTATTCACTTTCTGGAGGCACATTCAAGACACATGACAGCTACCTCCACAGTTCGGGAACTGCCAAGAGTAGATTTATTCTGTATATCCTACTGACCGTAAATATTTTATCAAGAGCACATATTATGGCTATAATATTTAATCATGTATAATCCACAATAATATCATCATGGGTTCAGGGTTCACATACTGAAACAAAAAATAAATACTTCTATCAAGTAAGAACAAATACTATTCTTACTGTTGAATCATGAATTGCTACTGATTTTTTGTTTTGATAACAAGTAGTATAAACTGAAAATAACAAATTAAACTCTAAAGCATCACAACTCCCACATATCCAAAAAATACTCAATATACACAAAGGAAACTTCTTAAATTACCTGGTCTGTATGCTAAAATGGCTAAGAACAGGGCTTTGGAGTCAGACAAACCCTAGTGCAAATTTTAGTCCTATCATTTAGATTTTTTTTGGTTTAGTTTTTTTGGGGGAGGGGCGGGTTGAGACAGGGTCTCATATACTTCAAGCTGGCTTCGAACTCACTATCTAACCTGACCTGGCTTTGAACTCAGGGCGATCCTTCCTGCCTCAGCCTCCCAAGTCCTGGGATTACAGGCATGCGCCACCATGCCCAGCAATTGCTTATGTTCTTGAGCAAGCTAATAAGCCTCTCTTTGCCTCAGCTTTTTCATTAGATGGAGATAAAATTACCTATTTCAAAAAAAAAAAAAAAAATTACCTATTTCATAGCGTTGTCATAAGGCTTAGTACTAAATATAAAGTACATTCATAATTTCACCTAGCATAAGGTTCAAGCAGTAGCATCAACAACCAATTACTGATACATGCAACAACACAGATTGAATCTTAAAAGCATTATGATAGGTGAAAGACGGCAGATACAAAAGCCTGCATACCATTTGACTCCATTTGATAGATACTGGGAAAGACAAAATTATAGGCACAGATAGTGAAGCCCTGCCTTAAAACAACCAAAAAAGGAGCAAGGGATATAGCTCAGTGGCACAGCACCTGCCTGGAAAGCGCAAGAGTTCAATTCCCGGTGCCAAAAAAAGGGTAAATAAATAAATAATATAGGCACAGTAATCACATCAGTGGTCACCAGGGGATGCAGATAAAGGGCACAAAGGGTGATGACAGAATTCTGTGGGGAGAAGGAAACTTCCTGTATCTTCACTGTGGTGATGGTTATACAGGTGTAAACAATTCTCCAAAACCCATAAAACTGCACACCTAAAAAGGTACATTTTACTATATAAAACAAGTTTCAATAAACCTGGCCTCTAAAAAGGTAGTTTTACAACTCACCAGACGGCTGGCGATATAGCTCAGTGGCACAAGGTATGGATGATGGGAATGTAAATGGAACCAATGGCTGAGGAAAATGTGGCAGTCCCTCAAGATGCTAAATATTGCTGGGCATGGTGGCACACACCTATACTCCCAGCACTTGAGGCTGAGGCAGGAAGACTGCCTCCAGCTAATCTCTTCCACCTTCGCCTGCAGAGTGAGTTCATGGCCAGCTGTAAGAATTACATAGCGATTGGGAGGCTGAAGCAAGAGGATTAAGAGTTTGAGGCCAGCCTAGGCTACATGGTGAGTTCAACGACAGTCTGGACTATGTAGTAAGACCCTGTCTCAAAAAACAAAAAAAAAAAAATCAAGATATCACTTAACACCTCTACATGAATGTTCAGCCCCACATTATTTGCAATAATTAAAATCAGTCAGGTGTGGTGGCACAGCCCTGTTATCTTAGCACTTGGGAGACTGAATCAGAAGGATCTCTGTGATTTGAGGGCAGCCTGAGCTACCTAGTGAGTTCAAGGCAAGCCTCAACTACATAGCA